GACAGGATCAAGTGCTGTACATCGATTTCTCCATTAACTTCCACAACTTCTAAGAATAATGTTGAGTTACTCTGATGAGGAAGGCTTATTAGGATAAAGTCTAAATGAGAGTCTCATTTAAAGTTCTTAGTTGTTCCAGGAAGATGTAAATACAGTGGGTCCTTCCTCTGGGGTTTGGTTCCAGGATCCCCTTGGGACCAAAATTTGTGGATGTTCAAGACCCATTAAATACAATGGCATAGTCAAATGGTATCCCTAATATAAAATGGCAAAATCAAGGTTTGCTTTTTGAATTTATATTTTTTAAAAAAATAATTTCAAGCTGTGCATGATTGAATCCATGGATAAAGAATCCATGGATATGGAGGGATGACTGTATCAGGAAGATGGCAAGCTTCACTCATTCTCTGAACTGTGATCTGAATTTGAGCTGTTTGTCCAGGGGTGGGTCACTGGTGAGGGGATCTTCCCCACTATCAAAAGCAATTACCCACCTTAAGACTAAATCAAAAATGAGAATCAAACAATCCTATAGATTTGGGCTGCATCTCGAGCATTGGCTAATGCTGGCTAGGGCTTCTGGAATTTGCCATCCAAGTTCTAGACAGGATCTACCAGAGTGTTAAGATGGTTGAGGGAGAGCTTTTTCCCAGTCCCACCACCATCACAAACCCATCAAATGAAGACCCTGGAGACAGCTTTTTGAGTAGCTGCTCCCAGTTTGTGGAATTTCATTCTATGGAATGCTAGGCTGCCCCCCTCTCTTCATACAAATACTTTTTAAAAATTCAAACAGGCTTTTAATGATGAATTGGTGAAACTGGAGCCTTTTCATGGAGTTTCTGGCTGTACTTTAAACTTTATTTAAAAACCATTTTGTGTTTTTAAAAATTAATCGTGTTTTAATGTGATGATAGTTAAATTGTGTTTTAACATTTTTATTGCAAGGTTTTTAGCTATCTTTTTAAACCTTTGTAAGTCATTTGGGGACCTATGGTGAGAGAAAGGATTATGAAACAAACATCCCTAGCCTACAAAGATGTGGTTCCTTAAAAATAAATGAAGAAGAGAGATCAATGCATACCTATCTAACCATGTTGACTTTAGTTTTATATTAGATAACATGCAGACTTCTTTTGTTGTTGCTCTAACCTGATAACTGCAAGCAATTTTGTTCCTTTCTCCACCTTGTTCCTAAGTCTAATATACTGCCTTAGGGATTATTAGGGCGATCTTTTCATTCTGGATTTTCTGAACTTGTCAAATATGTTCTATCAGAAGTCCTATTAATGTGATATATAGAAATGAAAGAAAGAGCTGTAGAGACAAACTAAAACAACTGTTAATGCATTTCCGAGGAGAATACTTGTGTGATTTAAGATGAAGGAATATTTAATTTAAAAGACAAAGGTCAGGAAAAAAGCAGAACAGAGTGACCCCATCACAAAGATATATCAGATATTGTGTCTGTATCTCACTCTTCCTGCAAGGAAATTGCATAAAGGTCAGAACAGCTTGTATTCCAAGCAGTGTGCTCAATTTTTAGAGGAATGGTACAAGGGCTACTTATGCATACAACTGTGATACAAATGGGTGGATTGGGTTAATAAGTGTTGCTTGGGGACTTTATGATGGGAATAAATGAATGGGATTTCTGTAAGTGCCCCCCCCACTATTAAACACTTATTCTATGGATTTACCTTGGCTGATACTGCGATTAGGATTCAGAACAATGTGAGTTTATTATCTTATGCTGATTAACACCCCCACCCAGCCTTTGTTTCATGTCAAAATGTCAGAATAGCAAGGAGTGTCCTCATTTAGGTTTGGACTGTGACATCAATACATAGCAAAAACTGACTGGTTACAGGGGAGGAAAATCTGAAGTTGAATCATAGAGTTGGAAGAGACCTTAAGGGCCTTCCAGTCCAACCCCCTGCCATATAGGAAGACATAATTAAAGCACCCTGAACAGATGGCCATCCAACCTCTGTTTAAAAAATCTTCAAAGAAGAAGACTCCACCACTCTTGGATGCAGTTTGTTCCACTTTTAAACAGCTGTTAATGTCAGGACATTTTTCCTAATGTTTAGGTGAAATCTCTCTTCCTGTGGTTTGAATCCATTGCTCCAAGAGGGATCTGGAGGAGTAGAAAATAAGCTTGTTTCATCCTCAGTATAACATTCCTTCAAATATTTAAGCATAGTTATCATATCACCTCTTAACCTTTTCATCTCTAGGATAAACATACCCAGCTCTCTAAGTCGCTCCTCATAGAGCATGGTTTCCAGACTTTTTGCCATTTTGGTTGCCATCCTCTGGACATGCTCCAGTTTGTCAACTAAAAATGAAGGCATTGCTACATTGTATATACAGGAAGGAGGGGTATGGTGCTGGGTTTCGGTGTCCAGGCCAGGCTCTAAGACTCCAGTTTTTGTGAGTCATCTCCAGACAGTAGATGAAGGTACAAATTCTCCATTTTTGATGGGCTCTGCTCCAGGAAAGAAGAAAGGATTGTTTGTAAATTTCCAGCTCAGCTATTAAAACAATTGTGGCAATTTTTGCGAGGCTTACTTGATTTGATGCTGCAAATTGCAACAAGTCTCCAGGGAGATTATATATTTATTCAGTTAGCTTCCTTCCTTCCTCTCAGTTATATCACCAGAGCTCACTCTCTGCTCTGCTCTGCATTCACTTTCTGGCTAGGAATAAGTCAGCTAGACTAAATGTTCCTCATTCTGTTTCTCTAAGCAAGTGATAAGGAATATTTCCTTCACTTCACATTGATCTGAGAACTGCCTCTTTAGCTAAGATTTCTTGCATAATTTCCAAACAGGAAACTATGCTATTTGTGTGTGTATGTGCCTTTGTCTGAATGACAAGCTGTGCACAATTGTGGTTAGTATTTAATGTATAATGCTTAACAAAATCACCAGGGGATGATCCTGAACTGACACCCCTCTGCTGGATAAAACTCAGTGTGGATTTACCACCCCAAAACAATGGAATCCACATCTACCTCTGATGTAGCTAAACCATGTCACATTTCCCCTTTTCTCTGCATGCAGAAATTTACACTTTGAGGCCAGCACTTCTTTTCTTTTGATAGAAGAGATTATGCAGCTTCTACCTCTTATCTATCAGATGAAGAATACAAATCTTGGATATGACTCCATTTCAAGGCTCGTTGCAAGCAGTTTTTATTTATTCTTTGATACCACAGGGACTGCAGCTTCGATCAGACTCTTCCTGTTAGAAGAAGTTGAAAAAATCCCCTTGCCCTTTTCCAAAGGTTGAGGTCAGTGGGGTGGTGTTCCATGAGGCAAGACAAGGCAGGAGAGACAAGCAGGTGATCTGACAGCAAAGATATACCAGTGACTATAAATGAGCTCTGAAAGAAAGCAAGAGAAAGGTCATTTGACTGGAACAACTAAAAGGAATGGAGCTGTGGGCAGCAGAACACTGACCAGAAATCAAGCAATGGATTTTTAATATATGCTCCATGTTTTCACATGCTGTTTTATTTCTAAATTAAGAAGTGTTGGGCTAAAGCCTTTTCAGGTGTCCTTGCTTTGATCACTATTGCCCTCTTTGAGCATTATTAAAATCAGCTTGCTTAGCAGATGCTTTCCTCACCCTCTGGGTATGGCGATTAACAGTCTGAAGAAGAGAATCTCCATTATCAATGGAGGTTCTCCAATTATGGAACTTGGTGTTCTCTGGTTCAGGATCTTGTGAAAAACCTCCATGGCTTCTCTTTAGACCATAGAAAAACATGCATAAAGGACAACTGAAAGGATGATGGAAATGAGAATGGCTAGTGTGCTCCCCTCCCCCCCCTTTGCATACTGAACAAGTACATTTTAATAATGCCTGAATTCTGCTTAAATCTGTCTATCTATAGGTTAAAATTAGTGAATTAATAAACACTAAAGCAAAACATATTGGTTTCCACCTTCTTCAGTTATGCTGATGTGAATACACTTGTTATAAATGAGATAAAGTAGGTGCCTACTGTAGGAATTGGCAACTGTGAAGCTGGGGAGAACAATGGTCCCTCAGGAGGCCTTGGAGTCTGCCACCCCTAAAACATATTTCCTAAAAGCCCCCTAGGTGGCATGAAGGCAATTTCAACATGGGTGGCCATTGGTGGTTTTAGGTTTAAGAGATGCCCCTTTCCCCCCCTGGAAGAAACCAGGAAATCAATTCACTTCTTGTTGAAAATATTTGTTTTCGGTTCATAGAATCATAGACTCATAGCATGATAGAGTTAGAAGAGACCACGAAGGTCATCCAGTCCAACCCCATTCTGTCATTCAGGAACTCAAAATCAAAGCATCCCCAACAGATGGCCATCCAGACCTCCAAAGAAGGGAGTGTGTTCCACTGTCAAACAGCTCTCCCTCACTGTCACAAAGTTCCTCCTAATGTTTAGGTGGAATCTCTTTTCCTGTAGCTCGCATCCATTGTTCCGAGTCCTTTTCTCTGGAGCAGCAGAAAACAAGCTAGTGCCCTCCTCAATATTTAAATAAAGCCCTTCAAATAATTAAACAAGGCTATCATATCCCCTCTTAACCATCTCTTCTCCAGGCTAATTATGCCCAGTTCCCTAAGTTGTTCCTCATAGGGCATGGTTTCCAGACTCTTC